TTGATGGTAGCATCAAATTATTAAATTGCTTGTCAATTTAATTCGCGATTACTAGAGTAATTTTAATTGCGTTTATTTAGTCCGGAAAAATAATTCGGCACGCAGTTTGTGAAAAAGACTACAATATGATATATATGCAAGTACATATATAATATATATTATTAAAATCTTTATGTTTTTAAATCTCTTATCTGGAATTTTGAATAAAAATACCTGGAAGATCCGTAAATTCTCACGAAACTTTTTTAAGATTTCAATAAAACGCATTTTAATTTTTATAACCATTTCTACGAATCTAAATAAACTTTGATCTCGGTTTTATTTATTCTGTCCTTCTAATTTTTAGAAAACGATACAAAATTAACACTGCCCATATAGCACAGAAGTTTGCAGCAACATCTCTGTATAATTTGCAATGTTAAGTACTGTTATATTGCTGTAATGTTGTTAGAATTATCCAATGTGTATCTTGAAACTCGGTGAAAATTAATAATTATAAAAGTGAGCAAACAATATTACAAGAATATTTATAATTTTTTAACAGTAGCAAAATTAAGTTAAATCGAGATCGAAGTTAATCTATATTAATAAAAATTGACATTAATCGCAGAGGAATTTGATGGTGAAATTTGACTTTGAATTCACGACTCGAATTCGTAGATTAGAAGGTAATCCACTGGACTTGGAACGTCTCGTATATCGAGTTAAATCTCTGGCTTTTCTTCTCGTCCCTCGTCCTGCTCCTCCTCGGCATCCGTAAACTCGAAAACTAGCGGGAATGCGTGAACGGAGGAATTTCAATCGTCGATGACGTCTGGCACAAGTACATTCACCCGGCGTCGAATGCATCTTGTAAATCGCTGTCGCGAAGGAAGCGGGTCTTGTCGCCTGGCGAACGTGGACGACGTCTTCGTTTTGCAAAGATTCCTCACGACGATGCTCCAAGAAACCGGTCGTTTCGCCGAGAATCCTGAACGAAGAAGCCGAAATAGTACTCGAGATCAGAGATCTTTATACAGAAGGAAAGAAATATCAAAGAAATGCTTTATAGAAAGAAGTATAGAAAAGAAATGAAGATATAAGACAAAGTCTAAAGCATAGAAGAAATATAAAGTACAAAATATGAAGTATAATAATAATAATAATAAGTGGATAATAATAACAATAATAATATCAATCACAATAATAATAATAATAATAATGTAAAATATAAACAATAATAAATAGAAGATGGACCGAAAACGAAGTGAATAATATATTTAATAATAAATTCTTTGCAACGGATATAATGTCCGTTTCTATCAATAATGTATTATTTTTTATGTCTATGTGTAATTAATTTTAATGTTAGTTTAACTGACTCTTTATCTTTTTCTAGTTCTAACAAGGGAACGTGCTACATTGCAAGAGCAATATCAAAAATTAACATTATCAGTTGAAAAATCATATTTAATAAATAGATATTTAATAAATAGATATTTTAGACGATCAAATCTTGAGATTCTATCATCAACTGTTTGATTTATACTTTGCCTCAGTGAAGCTAAAGTCTTTGGGTAACTATTGTCAAAAACAGAATTTAAAAAAAGTTAAGCCGTTTCTGAGAAATCTTGCAGTTGAATAATCGGATGGATGGACAAATATTGAAGTTATAAAGTAGTTCGCTACGCCTATTTAATAAAAGAAAGAATCCTATATTCGCACGATCGAAGAGGTTCTTGGAACCTAATAAAGTATAAAATACGAAGTATAGAATATAAGAAAAGAGTATGTATAAATAACAAGTATAAATTATGAAAAATGCGCCTCTTTCAAGATTTTAAATAAAGGGAAAGCAACATTTAAAAAAAGATTAGAAAAACGTTAGGAAGTAATTAGGGAAATATTAGGAAAAAATTGGGAAAATATTAGGAAAAGATTAGACGGATTTCATGACAGCGATGTCTCAATTATCTATGATTAAAATGATAAAGACTTCTACTCTTTGTTAGTTAGATAAAACATGTGTTTACCTAATACTTAGTTTTTTGGTAACATATATTCATCGACTTTTACCTCTTTGGAAAGTATCGTGAAAGCACGTTCCACTTCCTTTTCGCGACCCGCCTGGTAATCCAATTGCTTCGCTTCCGCATTTAGTTGATCAATCCGGAAGCAGCTGTCACGCGCAATGAAAAAGCAAGAAAGAGGATAAAGATTACGAAATACAAACGATAAAGTCGTGATTAATATTCAAACTGCGCACAGATTTATACACGAACGAGATAAAGCGTCCACGAGTTGGAACTCTTCAAAGAGCAACTTAATATAATCAAACCCCTGATTCAGTCAAGCACGTTATAAGATAATGTATTATCATTTTATCTTTGTTTAATATTCGGTGAACAACAAGAAAGTGAAATGATATATTATTATTTACGGAGCACAGTCAGTGAGAAAAAACGAGGAGTATTGGTATGAGATTCGCGCGATTTTTCAGAAACCGAGAAAATCAAGTTACATCTTTTTCTACATTTTTGTTTATTCGATGTTTTGTTATTAAATAAAACATCGAATAGGCAGGAATAACAGTTTTTTAAATAACAGTTATTTAAAATAACTGTTATTTTATTTGATTTTAAATAACAGTTATTTTATCATGAAGTTTAATTTTTTTTTCCTCTACTTCCATATAAATTAAATACGCGCGAAACAGAGTCAGGATTAGATTGGTGCTCGAAACCAAAGAAAAGAATGCATTCCAGGAAAAGAGATTTCTTTCACAGAAATATAATTTTTAAAAAATGATATTAATTAATGGTATTAATTAATATTATTTAATATATCAAATATTAATTTAATATGAATATATCGTTCATTTACTACAATAATGACAACTTAAAAGTTGTCAGTTTTGAATTGCTTGCAAAAAAGAAAAAACTATATTTAATATTTAATATTTAAAGTTAATTGTATTTTAAAATTAATATTACATTTTAATTCAAAACGCTCAAACTTATTTTCTGGAAAATTTTATTTTTTAAATTGTGTCGTAGTAACGAATGAACGATATGATCGGATATACAGTATATATGTTAGAAATATACAGATTATGTGATATATATGTTTACAAACGAATATGAAACATAATTACTAAAGTAACAGTAAAATAAGAATATATGTGTATACAGTATAACCCTTTAGTATTTATATAAATAATATTGATTCTTGTGAGAACTCACAGAGAAAATGTATTTCTCCATTTAAAGTAATACTTTTCGCGTTGCAAAATTGTCGGTTATTCTATCAAAATTTATATCTACATACATATTTTATTTAATACACAGGAAGCGCTCGATTGCAAATGTACACGTGGATGATAATAGTCACCATTAGCGTACGAATTAAAGTACGTAAAAGTTTATACGCCATTCTTCCCCCTTCAATTTTTTTACACGAAACAAATGCCTCGCCACACCCTAGTTCCGGCTAGGTACATTGGACTCGCAGAAGATCGGTTCTGTCTTACTTTCATCCGTCCTATTCTCGGCAAGACGCCGTTGCCAGCAACGATGCCGAAAATGTCACGCGCACGTGGCTATCCATCCGTAATTATACAGGCTCCGTTATTGCGTCCCGGGCAAATTAGTATTGTTGATTATATACATACATCATAATAACTATAACAATGACGGCGATAAATCCAATGTACGCGCGAAAATGTAAATGCAAAAAAAAATGCATAGAAAGATTGGCGGTTGAATAAATGAACGAAGACTAAGCGAGGCGGTGTATCGATCGGGAACGATTAATAAATGAAACCGAAACGCCCAGGTTGGTCATCGTCCAGCAATTCGATCCGTTGCTTATGCACGAGCTGCTCGTTATCGCATAGTGGCGCCTAAGCGTGGAAGATCTTGGACTGACGCTCCTTTATTGTTACGTCAATTTGAAACATAATTTATTAATGAGAGATTATTAGGATAAATATACTTAATATTATATAATTAGGATAAATACACTTAATAAATATATTATTTATTAAATATATATGATTGACGAAAGAAAAGAAATTTATCGTTATACAATTCAATATAAAAACATGCGAGCTTGATGTAGATAATAACAGAAAGCTAATGTTTTTTTGTTTCAGGAATTAATATTGTTTGTTTGCAATTGGTTCTAAAATCTTTGGAATTTGTATTATTTACCGATCGATATTTACAAATACTATGTCAGACAAAAGAACAAAGCAGTTCAGAGTTTAAAATTTCAGTCGTAATATATGGCTTCGTTTACCAACGCATTTTCCGTATTTTCTGATGTTGGAAGTATACTTTTAATCACTGTGAATGGCAATGAATGATGCTCAACGTGATTTACGTAACGTGATGTGACGACATCTCGACAATTGCTAAGCATTCAATTATCATGAGTCATAGTTCTAGTATTTGCAAAAATGCTGTTCCACATTTTTTGACCTATTTTTTTCATGGTGGTCCCTTATCTCTTCATGACTACTATCACTTATCACTTAAAACACACGCTGTAACTGTACAGTAATTATACAACAGTTTATAAACTGAATTCGCAACTGAAAAGAATATCTCATAATATTTAAAAAGATATAATATAATTTATATAATTAGTATAAAACCATTGTTAATTTAATATTATTTGTATATAGTTTAATTGTAATTATTTATATATATATATAATCATTGTATAATATATTACATATATTTCATCGTACATTGTATATATATTAATATACGAGTATGTATACATAATAATAATATGTATAAGTATATGTATTAATTGTATAATTATATTAATAATTATACATAAGTATGTATATATTAATATGCTATTAACCAAACGTAATTCTTTGCAGATATATTTGCTGCTTTTTTTGCTGCTATATATCTCAAGTTACGCGCTGATCGCGCGTTTTAGACGCCGGGATCGCGAGGACTACCTGTCGGTGGACGAGGATGAGGCCACTGTGTACAGGATCAGCCTTTGGCTGTGCACGGTCGCCCTGGCAATTTCCGTCGGCGCGACCCTCTTACTTCCGGTGTCTATCGCTAGTAATGAAGTCCTCATCTTATATCCAAACAGCTACTACGTCAAGTGGCTCAACAGCTCCCTCATCCAAGGTAAAATCTTGAATAACCTGGGAAAAATACATTTCAAATACATGAGTCACTCGAGATATATAATTAAGAAACAAATGCACACGTAGATGTAACGACAGAAGGATTCATAAAGAGATAAATAAATAGAGTAGTCTTGTTTTAATTCTTGTTACAATCATTTAAAAAACAATCACATCATAATTCGAAATAATATTACAATTATAAAAAATCAATATTAAGATATATATATATATATATATATACATAAAAGATAAAAGAATTAATTTTAAAAGATTAAAGCATTATTAGTAAAACGAAGGAAGAGCAGAACAAGATATGAACAATGAATTCGTCTGATATAATTCAATCCTCAGTTTATATCTCTGTTAAATCTGTAGTTTACATTTCGTAAACGTTATATCATATAACAAAATTAATTTCCATTGACAGGTCTATGGAATCACGTGTTCCTATTCTCGAACTTATCGCTTTTCGTGTTTCTGCCTTTCGCCTATCTTTTCACGGAGTCAGAGGGTTTCGAAGGCCATAAAAAGGTGAGACAAAATCATGAAAAATTCTTGATAACGAGCTGCCAATCTTTTTTTATAATTGTTTGTAATCATAGGGCGTGATGGCGAGAGTATACGAGACAGTGACAGTTCTCTGTCTCTTGGGTACTCTCGTACTAGGAATGACTTATGTCCTGTCGGCCCTATTGGATTATCAAAACTCAAGTTTACACACGTTGCTCAGTAAGTAATGCATATCATATCACGGAGTCGTATTTTTTTACAATTTAGATATATTCGTATATATTTACAACATCCGTCGTGATTTTATCATAGTTACATAAATTCGAATGAGACTACCATCGTGATATAATCTACTTTACAGATTTATGGAGTTATTATTTGCCTTTTCTATATTCCTGCGTCTCGTTCGTCGGCGTAGTAATGTTATTACGTAAGTATCGTACATTTTCGCACAACTCTACTATCTACGCAGCAGAGAAAAAATCAATTTGTAATATTCTTCAAACATAACATTTTTTTCCGAGAATTTACTCTAATTGGTGAATTAATCATTCCTCAGTATGCACTCCAGTGGGATTCGTACGACTGTTCGATGTGGCGGGGTCGTTTCTTGTTAAACCCCAATTTCTGAAGAACTTAGATGAGGAGTTCTTCGCGTATAGATTAGAGGAGGACTGTATCCGCAGAAGGTAGCATCTCTTTCTTTCTTTTCCTTATATTTGTATGTACATTGAATATCGCATATTGTCTAATGTTTATATATGTATATATACAATTCAGCGTATGTTCAGATTACAGCACGTAAAAGCTACGGGGAAGTCGTACGTATCACCGGTGCCGATGTCGCCGGCGATGAACTGTGGCTGGTTGCCGCACGAGGACGATGAGCCACTACTGTGCATAAGTCCGGGTCTGCTGTGTCTGAGGAACGGTGCTCTGCAAAAGGGTCTTTCTCAACGGCTGGACGACGTTCAGAAGCGGCGACAGCTGCTGGATCAACAGCGGAGGACCTGGTGGGTCCGGCGCACGCTACTTTATCCAGTAGCGATGCTGGCGCTGCTCGTTCTGTCCACTGCCACGGCCCTATTAGCGGTGCAAAACACTATAGAATTACTGATAGGTATCAAGGCGTTGCCGTTGAGCACGAGGGTTCGTATTTACTTCCCTTCCTCTGAATTAACTGACTTTCTAGTCGTGAATTTTGCTGCAATTATTAATTTGAATCATCGTTATTTTATATTAATGATGAATTTATAAATTTTGCGTGCTGCAATTAAAGAATTGATGAATTTATTCTAATAAAAAGAAACAAATTTTTTTTTTAACAAATTTATTTCATAAGTAAATTATTTAATGATTTTGTTCAGTGATGGCATTTTTATTAACTAATTTTGTTTCATCTTTTTTCTGTACAGCATGAACCTTAATTTTATTTCGAAAAATCATAAAGTCGTTTTTAATTTGACAGCAATTTACGCTCGGCATCAGTTCCCTGTCCAAGCTCGGACCCATCGGTGCGGCCATCGAGGTGGCGGTGATTCTTTATTTGGCCGTGACTAGCGCGATCGGCCTGTACGCTTTACCGGGCGTGAGAATGGTTCAACCAAGGTTCCGCTCCACGCCACTCACCCACCTCATTGCGAATTGCGCTCTTTTGCTTGTGCTAAGTTCGGCGTTACCGCTATTATCGCGAATATTAGGTAAGGCACGAATTGTCTGGATGTTTTTATTTATATTCCGCACGCATGTCTCAATTCCAGTCATCCTACTCAATTATATTCTGAAATAATTGAAAATTAACAATAGATCTGCTTGCTTGTTATTTCTCGTTCAGACAATATAGATATACAATCTGGTGTGTGTTCAGGAATTATTAAGGTGTTATCATTTTATCCTTATTCACTAATAATCCTATTAAATAAGGATAAAATGATATCTGGATGGATCCGGATAAGATTTCTGAATACAGCCCTGTATATTTACAGAGGTTTTTTTACTAATGTCATTTCAATGATGAATTCTTCGATCAATTTGAAATCAATATTTTTATTAACAAAGATGTCAAATACAAGTAATTTTCGAGTTATAAACGAGAAAAGATTCACGAACGGAACATAAAAAATAATTATATTATAAGTAATAAACTATTTGTTATTACAACAAAAATACATTTAAAAGAAGTGATACTAGAGAGCAGAGTTTTACATAATTGGCATTTTATTATTGCTACTCTGCTCACGTTTCTCCTACTTTTCCCAGGAATGACAAATTTTGATCTACTGGGTGATTTCGGACGCATCGAGTGGCTTGGTAATTTCAAGCTCGTTCTCCTCTACAACTTGATCTTCGCGACGGCGGCGATCAGCTGCCTGACCACCAAGTTTACGGCTACCGTGCGCAAGGAGATCTACGCCCGTCTGAGGAGCAGCCTGCTCGGTATCTTTAGGACCACGAGCGTCACCGCCGACGCGAAGAAATATTCATCGTCGTCAGGAATATTTTCTATAAAGGAAGATTAGACTGATTTGTTATATTATTATATAATTAATATAAACAACAGAGAGAGAAAAGAGACGCCGGGACCTTACGAAAGTTTGCCTGGTTTTTATGTTCTTGCATGCAGAATTACAAGGAGTCTCTCTCGAGCTTCTCGAAGACGTGAGAAATTGATATCATATACGACGCATGTAAGAAGGACGGAGATAGAGAGTTCTCGAATTTGCCGATCTATGGACGTGCCAATCCTTCGATGCTTTAAAACTCTTGGACTCCTGGATCGTTCGATTCTCACGTGCTCGAGCAATCACGCCGAGGTCCTCTATATTTTCATATTCCTAGATTCAGAAACTGTTGGTTTGTTTTAATTTTTTTAAGAATTTATGGATCGAATATATAAAACATATTAAATATATGACAGTATATTTAAATAAAGACGCCTTGCGTCGTGTCTGAGAGATTGGCTTTTCCAAGGAACTATCGATTACGTTGAAATCATCGGTAAACTTCATCGGCAATCTGGACGTAATCTTGAGATTTCTTTTTTAAAGAGCCAGACACTTTTGCACGCTTTTGCTCCCGTGCCATCGAGAATCACTGCATTGAAGAGCCAACGAAACTTTCGTGAGAGCCTAAAAGTTTATCGCTTAGAATAAACGAACGCTAGTGATTATTTGTAATTATGCGCGAGGCCAGTCAAGGACATGTCCGATAAGGACAACAAGGCGGTCACATTCGTAATACGTAGCGTTAAATATTTATTTATTACATTAATGCTAATTTTTAAGAATATATTTGTCCGGGCACGAAACAAAAACTCTACAATCGGACGAGTTTATGTATGTACATATGGCGATCGAATGATTAATTTATAATGGATGACGAGGACTGCAAGGAGGATATGGTACGATCTAAGTTGCGTATGCGCAAGATATTGAGTGAAATTTTTCATCACACAATAATATATCTGACAAAAATCTATTCTCCACGGAAAGAACATTCGATGAATGTTTATTTATCTTCGAATGTGTCTATTTTACAATTGCCAGCTTCGTGCATGGAGGGAGAAATGCAGTTTTAATTTAAGTAATAAATTTTAATGACTGCTCGAAATAAAAAAAAAACCTAAGAAATATTATTAACACGAAAGCGTAAGGAATTGTTTAATGTTTAACATCTCGTGCGGAAAAAGAAATGTTCTTAGACTGAACCGTAATAAAATGAGATTTTAAGAGACTTATACATATTTTAATTGTATAAAGCGTATATACATTATAATAAATCGCACGATTTTTTAAACACTTGCGACGAAATGATGAAGGAAGCTAACGAAACTGTTTTTTATATATATAAGCAGGAAATTATAATGATACAAATTTCGGAAAATATCTTTCATTTAAAAAAGCCGCCCTGAATCTTTGGAACGATATCACAGATAATGGTTTATTCTTTTTAATATCTCATTGGAAAAACCTTATTTATTATCATTTATTATCATTCTACTAGATCAGAATAACATCAAAATATTAAGACAGCTCCGTGCTTCTTCTATCTAAATCGTATCATATGTCACGTTTTAGTTCTAGTTACATTTTTTTACAAATATCTTTTTATTTACATGGCTTCTTTACATCGTCGTTTTTTCTTTTTGTTTTAATTTACATTGGTTGCGTTCAGCAGAGAAAGCAGCTTTGCAATTGTTGTAAAATTCTTTAATATGATTAGTCTTGCTCTTAGTTCCTCATTGGATCTAAATGTATAAACCAATCATATTCAAGAATTTTACAACAATTGCAAAGCTACTTTCTCTGCTGAACGCAGCACCATTGATTTAACCCTTCTGGTCTGTTCGGGTCTGTTTATTCAAGATGCAATTTATGTTTTACTAATATTTAGAAACTTTTCTTCGATAACTTTGTTAATATAAGATCTCTTTTCTGTGACTTTTTAAAATATTCCCGGGAAAGTGTTCTATATATAATTATATGCAATTATATATAATTTTATACATATATATATATATATAAAACATTTTTCCCAGATTTTTTAAGGGTTTTTTTTAATCATATTGATCAAATAGTAATAATCATATTGTAAATATGAACACAAACAAGCAGGATTGTTTTATTTGAATACATCGTCAACAGTGCACCATCGTCAAATTAAATATAATTCATAGATAAACCTATTCCTGCTTAATACCACGAATTCAATCACGTATCACTCCGTTGGGTTCATTTTCAGACGATATCTGTTTAATATGCTGATGATGACATGCGCAGAGATACCGCGACGCACAATCGAATAACAACCGAGTTTTGACACATCCACCACGGTGGAACCGATCCTGCGTGCATCGGTCTGTTTCTTGAGATTATTAGAGCTGTGGAAGACACCATCAAGCTCTGGCCACAATGCGCGAAACTCGTCTGGGTGCAGACTGCTCGGCTCTTTGCTAACGTTGGCACTGGTAAGCGCAAGTGGACCAACAATCTGGGCGACACTGCGAATGAACTTGTCGTTGGGCACACGGATACCCACAGTGTCAATGCCTGGATTCAGAGCCTCGTTCAGAGCAAATGTGCGCCGCAGGCATATTGTATAGGGTCCAGGAAGCAGATCTTCTAGCATACCAGCTGGAATGTCGTCTATGATGCCCCATATACCTACCTCCTTGACATTACTCAAGCAAACAGCCAACGGCTTTCTCTCGTCTCGTTGTTTGATCTCATATAGCCGCTGGACGGCGTGTGAATTAGCAGCCAGGCAAGCCAGACCATACACTGTGTCTGTCGGCACTGCGATCACTTTTCCCTGCCGCAGTAACTCCGCTGCCATCGCAACGCTTCGATCACCACCACAGAAGAAATGCTTTTCTTTTGGTCCGAGCATCTTCATCTCTTCCTTAGCTTTATTCATAATAACTTTCATGGGACCCATTGAGCTGGGGCTCATGATATATCTAATGCTTGTCGTATTCCACTCCTGTAAAGAGAATAAGAAGAAAACCATTAAGAACTTTGTAAACAAAATCAGTATTATGTAATGTTTTCCAGTTTTGATATACAAAAAAGTTCATTCTAATTTGATTCATTTTTTATTTTTTATTTATCAGATTATATTTTAGATATTCATCGAGTCGTTTCTTTCCTGAAAAGTGGAATGTAATGTTTTATTTTTTCTTCTGTCTAATGAGAATATAGATTTTCCATCTTTTTTATATCGACACCGAATGAAAATTTACCCACGTAATTAAGAAATTTTTTAAACACATTTTTACGTCTACTTTATAAGTTGTTATATATTAGACTAATTGAACTACCGCTACTTTCATATAAAAAAAAATAAAGGTAATTATTTAGAATACCCCCCTCCCCCTCACTTTAAATCTTAATAAAAATACATTTATTCGACGTGTTTTCACTCAAAACAAAAGAATCTGGCAAAAAACACGCGGCGGTCGGTCTCGTGAATCGCGTTATTAAGCGTTAAAGGCTGCGTTCCACTTAACGCTCATAACGCTCGTGGAATCATTTCATCCTTGTCGTTTATCAAATGTTAAACAAGGACAAGCGATGCTCGCGAGCATTGCGAGCGTTAAGTGAAACGCAATCAAAGTTGGAGACTTTAGAGGTTAAGATAGCTGTCATCCCGATTCGATATAGCTCTTTGTATATGTTCTGCATTAATGACACAGATTCATTGCTTTAAAAATACAAATTCATTGCTTTACAAATACAAATTCACTGTTTTAAAAACACAAATTCACTGCTTTAAAAACACGAATTCTCTGCTTTACAAACACAAATTCACTAATGCAAAGAATTTGTGTGCTTAAAGCAGTGAATTTATGTTTGTAAAGCAATAAATTTGTGTTTGTAAAGCAGTGAATTTGTGTAATTAATGTAGAACGTATACATGGAGCTGTATTGAATCGGGATGACAGATATCTTAACCTCTACAGTCTCCAACTTTCGCTTAATAACTCGAATCACGAGGCTGACCGCTGCGTTTTTTTTTTATCAGATTCTTTCGTTTTGAGTGAAAACACGTCGAATAAGTGTATTTTTATTAAGATTTGAGGTGAGGGAGGGGGGTATTCTAAATAATTACCAAAATAAAATGTAATGTTAATCATATTAAATAATTTTTAACTATTAAAATTTCAATAACAAATATTAGAACCAAACTTATATAAAGTATAAAAGTAAAAAATTATTTAAAAATACAGTAATGTTCTAGGATTAAAATGATTAAATGATATCTCCAATTCTAAGATTGAATATCTTTCTCTTCTCTGATGTAATATAATTTTACTTCCTTTCTCTGCTGTAAAAATATTTCTGTTTTCTATCTCCTTTTCTGATGCAATCTACATTTTAAAGCAAACCCCAAAATAATCTAATCTTCCTTAGTTACACCTCTAATTTAAAGTTTCTCCAGAGTTTCACAGAAATGGCAATAAGTTAAGAATAATTTACATCAAATAGTAATTTCAGAAGCATAATATTTTCTTCTCCTCTTTCTTGCGATCCTCTTGAATTACCTGTGAGGTTAGTCGACTCGCCACGTGTGAGCACACTCGTGATTGCAGCATCTATAAAAGAGTGTCATAGGCTCGTCGGCGGAACGCGTTTGTAGCTGCTTGAAGTAAGCACGTGGATGTGTGCACTTGGGACAACGTTCATCCGTCGAATCTACTCCCATCCACGTGGATTCAGCGTCAATGATGTCAGCACGCTCCTTGCCCGTGAAATAGATGCGTGAGCTTATCCGGGACCTTATTGGATAAATATATGGACACGTGGGGCATGCGAACCGATTGCCCGATGAATGCTCCCGGAACCTGAGAAGGTTAGCGCAAAACGGACAGAACCGCAACACCATTCTTTATTCCTGGACGTCTTCTTCTTGAATTTTTAATGGCCCTGGTCCCCTTTCCTGGGCTGCGTTCAGATACTACACTCGGGAGCACTCAAGCTCCCGAATGCCGTTCAGAAACCAATTGAGAGTATCTCAGCGTTACCTAGGTGGCCCATTCAGAAACGTGTCGGGTGTTCCCGATCGGGAGACTTTTGCGCCCTGGCTCTTTTGCTAGGTGGAAGGTGGAAAGTCCATGGGGGTGAAGCTAGTATTAGGG